GAGCAATTTGGAGATGAGGAGTTTTATTTTCAGCAAGATGTGAGGGCCTACCTTGACGAAAATTTGCCGAACAGATGGATTGGGCGAAGAGGTAGCATTGAATTCCCCCCACGTTCACCAGACCTCACACCACTAGACTTTTTTTATGGGGATACTTCAAAGATAAGGTTTATAGCACAAAACCTGCAACAATCAATGAGTTGAAAGCAGCAATTGAAAGAGAATGTGCCAAAATGCCAAATGAAATAATTCATGATGTTTGCAGTTCCATCTGTCATCGTTATCAGCAGTGCCTGGACCAGAACGGTCATCAGTTCGAACACCTGCGATAACTCAAAATATTCTGCACTTGTCTTCTTTTACTTGGATTATAAAACTCAGATATATCTTAATAAACATTCTATTTATAATCATTCAAAGTGTGTATAAATTTTTGGGACATCCTGAAAATACAATATTATGAAGAAATTAGGACCCAAATTTTCTTATATTTTTATTAGACCTTTCAAATGACATGAAAATGCTTTTACAATTTCCATGTATGGTCTTAGAAAACATGGAAATACAAGGTTAAGTATACGTTACATTAAAATATTTTTGAATATGCAAGTCATGTGAAAATCACAGCTGCTATAAAGTTGCAGTGAAACAGAATGTATCAGGACCATATTTTGAAATTGTTTGGCATTTCATAAGTAGTGTAACACCATCAAAAAGTGATTTCTTTTGGGAAGGGTATATAGCAGTCCTTTTCAACTCAAACATTCATATACTCAAATTATACAGATGTGTTAAGATCATGGATTTAGAATTTTCAAGACAGGAATCATTTTTGTACTTAATGTTACTAGAAAATAAAAGAATATGGATCAACTTGAGATAACAGGAATATCCAAAAAAGACCTGAGACCTTTATTAAGTCACATACCAGCCTTGGTAAGCAAAGTGGAATGTGTTGCATCAGATGAGAATCCACGAACACAGAAGTGGTGGCAAAAGCCATCCACATGCTTCAAAATACAGAACACAACATAATCAAAAAGGATCTCCACCTGGAAAAGTACACAAGTCACATCACAAACTGCTTCCACAACATAACTGTTACATTTTGCATACCTCAAACAGCCAAAGAATGAAAAGGGCATTTACTCTATTCCATATGGAAACATACAGCTTAGGCCATCAGATGCAGCTCCTATGGCTTTTTGTGGAATCAAACTGCTGAAAGGAACACTAGAAAACTATCTTCCTCATACATTAGATGGATTATGGAAGTAATATAGGGAAGAGTGGTATGTTTTGAATATGACAGCTTTATGATGGTGTCTTTTTCAATGGAAGTTATGCTGAAGAATGTTCAAACATGGAGTTGTGGACTGTAACAACATGGTAAGGCTTCAAACTGTTTTAATATAACACACTCAACACTCTATACTCTTGAAAAGTAACATTAATCACAAGCATCATGAAAATCAAGACTAATAAAACTAACTAATTGGTCTTATATAAACATAAACTTTTGGTAATTTAATTACCTAACCTACATATATTGTTAAGGTAGACAAAAAAAAATCTGCACAAAGTCATGAAATATATCTGTATATGGGTATATATATGTTTAGCTCTCTCAATACAGGCTTGGTCTGATTTTCTATTAAGTAGCTCTGTAACAAAACAAAATTGAAAACTAAAAATTATGGTTTGTCTGAGCAATAACAATTTTATACAGAGTAATTTATGTTTAATTTCATACTTTTTTGAGGGGTGGTGGATAAAATAGGGATGATGACATGCCAAGAGAAAATGTATCACAAGGGTCACACTAGTGGAAATTCAGGATTTTTTTTGTAATATTGCCTTGTAGAATGAAGAACTTAAAATTTGTATACTATTAAAATATGGATTATTAGCTAAGATTTTATGCTATTCTAATTGGTATAACAAACGAAAAGAGGTTTAATAAAATTTTGAATGTAAGACACTAAAACCTTGTGTCATGTGCAGTAAAGGATACCCGGTATGATAAGAGTTAATTAACTAAGTTTTGGTGCCAAGTTTATTCATACAAGATGATAATAAAGTAGTTTAACTTTTGAAGGTAATTCTAAAAAGTCGTAAAGTGCACAGTTCGACCCATCCATAGCAAGAGGGTTAAAATGCAGTCTGTGTATACAATATTTAAATATTAAAAATGTAGTAAAACCACTAAACTAGTACAGAAAAAATAATAACTAATGTTTTACCTAATTATAGTGACTGATAATGTACTTGCATTGCTCTTCTTAAACACAGAATTTTCATTATCTGATATTGATAAACACAACTTACGTTCTAGGTTAGCAAAAACAAAAAATCCCCAAAATAAGACAACTATCACAAACAATCTGTTATTAATATGCTTCAGTATATTTTTTCACTTACTCTGAGTTCATGAAATTCCCTGTTCTTCCAATAAAAAAGCTGCAAGAGAAGGTTTCTCACTATTACCAACATTCATACCAATGCACAAACATAAGCTATGAAACACTTTACCTTCAATTTATGAAGAAAAATGGTAATGAAAAAGAAAAAAATATATATATATAAAATTTCTAAAAATAAATGCTTGACTAGAATATTCAATTTAATTTGGTAAGCAACAATTCAAACCACCATTCTTTGATAAATACAGAATACTACTATTTCCAGTAAATGTTTTTATGCAACATGAATATTTGAACTTAAATTATTTTTAACTTATTTGGTAGTACATTAACAAATAAAAACAACTAATATATTTAAATGAATTTGGCATAACTGTCAAAACAATATCTCTTAATTATTGAATGAATAAATGTGTTGAAATTAAACTAATTTTTTAACATATTGTGTATCATCACATCTATTTCTCATTGAAAGTTTTTCCCATGACTGTAGCATCAATAAAAAATCCTTTATCTTATATTAAAACAAAAACATCAAAAACAGAATTTGGTAAACTTTTTGTATGAAACTCCAAGGCTGGACCTGATGCACATTCAATGATAAAAAAAAAAAAGTGTCAAAACACTAAATTGTATAACTTAAAAGTTTTACCTGTAGCTTTCTTTTCACAGCAACACAAATGCGTACCATGGTTTGAACCTCACCAGTTAGTGTGCTTTGATTCTAGAATTAAAAACAACAGGGAAACTAGAATTTACTATTCCTACTTTTCTCCCCTAATTCGGTAAGTGTATAACTTCCCCATAAAAGTAATAAACTTTTATAAATCAACTTATCATTAACACTCATTTCTTGTTTAGTTAGAAAGCTACAGATATTGATTGATGGTCAACTGGTCAGTAGATTGCATCTCCTGAAGATTGTTGAAGTGTAAAATGTGTAAAAATGTACCTTTTTTTGTTTTTATTAATATACATATTTACCACACATGTAAAGATCTACACAATTATTTTAACATATGCAACTTTAAACTAAAGATAAGTGTTTAACCAGATACCATGCTTTTCATTCTTTCTGCTGTCTTATTCTATATCTTCAGGATAAGAACATCCTTTATCTTTTAAATATTTTTTGTGATCGTCATGAAATAATAAGCAGTGTCAAATCTTGCACATCAATATCATGATAAGACTTTCAGACTATCAACTTTTACCAAGGGCAAACAATCATTGTAAAAGAAGAGGGAGCTGGACAAACAGGTAGTTAGAATTCCTCAAATCAAATCGAGACATGTTTCAGTACGTAAACAGGCAGTAAGTTCCTTTAGAGCAGGGAAGGTAAAATTATATTTAATTTAGGACGAGTACAATAGTACATAATATTCATGTGTTCTTCTTCCTTAAAAGGTTGGTTACAGACCTCATTCTAGATTTTTGAACCTGTATTTTGAATTACACAGTAAAAGTGCTAACTTGCATTTTTGTTCCCATTCTACATCAGTACATACATGCATATAGACAAGCACATTACACAAGCATAAAATTAATAAAACACACAAGAAAAATAACCTTGGAAAAATGTAAACTCATAAAACTTGATATAGGTGCACTTGCACAGTATGCCACATACACCATATGGTTCATGCATGCTATGTAACATTAGCTAATCAAACTGAACCATAGCTTGTATCTAACCATGTTCATGATGGTCATTAGTGGATTTGGTTCTTCATGCCACTACCTGTTGTTGTTTGCATCTATTTTTGTACATGAATATCATACATTGGTGTCTGCAACACTTTGAATTCTCATAAACAATAATGGAAACATCGACCATTGTGGGTTTTGAAATATCAGAGCTGCTTTAAGGGACAATAGCCTGGATTTATATATATATATATATATATATATATATGCAGTTCTGTGATTTAAGTAAAAACATATACTTAAAAATGCAGAATTCTCTGTGAATATGATGTATTAGTTGCTATATTTGATTAAAAACAATTTACACAGTTTATCAAATGAACTCAAAATGACAAAATCATAAAAAATTATTTATTAAGAAAACTACTTAGAATATGATGAGCATTTTTCTTTCTCTGGTACACAAGTCAAACTTTCTTACCCTCACATCCAAGCAGAACAGAGTTGCTCCTTTCGTCCTGCTAACTGTTGATATATGTGAAGCATTCTCCTGCATTAGATCATGTACACTGACAATATTGTCTGTAATTGAAACAAACCAACTGTGGGACTAGATTTTATCCAAAAAAATAAAATGTATGATAAAAAAAATTAACTAAAATTAGGAAGTTTTTTTCCTTTATTTTTTGCTTGTTTTGAATTTTGTGCAAAGCTATTCGAGGTCTATCTGAGCTAGCCACCCCTAATTTAGCAGTGATAGACTAGAGGGAAGACAGCTAGTTAACACCACCCACCGTCAACTCTTGGGCTATTCTTTCACCAACAAATAGTAGGATTGACCATCACATTATAATACCCCTATGGCTGAAAGGGTGAGCAAGTTCAGTGACCTACAGGTTGTAATTCGAGTGCCCTAACCACCATGCCATGGAAGTATAAATCTAAAATCAAATAAAAGATCATCATATATTCTTGATGAGCATGTTTTGAGAACAAGAATTGTCTGTATCTCATTGGAAGTTAACATAACTGTAAAAACAATAAACTAGTTGCTATGTTTTCTATGTCATTTGCATGATCATTTCTTTGCTAATTTTCATTTACTAAAATACAGACATCTGGTAAAAGAACTATTTTCCAAGTAATGACATCTATGAGCTTCATATTTGAGATTTAAATAACTAAAAATGCCTGGATAAAAATTATTTAATAACAGTATTATAATTAACAGCTTTCTAACTAAACCAATATATATAAAATTGTTCATCAGTAAAATCTTATATTATCATATTATAAAACATGAAATAATTTATCACAACATACTGTTTGTCCTGTGATCTTCACATATCAAACTAAGAAACTTGGTTATACGTCTTTGTATCACAGTTAAATTAAATATTTAAATAGCACTACAATGCTCCATATCCAATTAAAATTACAATTTTTGTGTTATCCAATATTTTCCTTCAACTTTTGACAAAATTTTTAAATATGAAAATCTGCAAATTTTAGGATATCTCTCAAAATATTTTTTTTTTAGTTAGAGATGTAATATTATCTACATATACTAAATAAACATAACAAAAATAGTATATTATTTAAAATACTAATCAGTTTTTTTTTGTTTGATATATTAGTTTTCATTCAAAATATATACTTTGGAAGAAAAACAAACTAGTTCTTTTATAGTTTGTAAGTTTTCAACAGCTCACTTTATTTTGAGTATTTAATACTCACTTGTAAAGCCTTCTTGTACAGATAATATTGTCCCGAGACACATTAAACATACCTGATAAGCTAATTAAAATATTTAATTCTGGAACTACAGCAATCTGAAAAAAAAGAAAAACACTTTTTAGAAACTTGAAAAAAAATCTTTACAAGTTACACAACTATGAAATACATTAAGAATTTATTTGGATATGTGAAATAATGAAAATCCTTCATATAGAGAACATAGAAATAGCTTATAGAGAAATGCTGTATATGGATACATGGGTCTCTAAACAGTTGGAAACTTAAAATAATGGGTAATTACAACTCTTAATCAACAGCACATCATTTAGATACAAAGCACAGATTATCAACTCCTTAAACCCAAGTGGATGCTACTAGCATCCAGCCACAGATACCGATTTACCCATCAGAAGGCGACAGCATCTGATAACTTTGTCTCTATGGCTGAAAACTAATCCAAACCACATTATTATTATTATTCACAAAATTAAGAATATTGAAGTTTTATAAAGTATGGTGATAATTATTAGGACATCATGAAAATAATTCTGGCAGAATTTAAAAAAAAATTACAAGTTTAATGAATTAATGATCATAATGAACAAATTAAATTTTGTACTGAATACAAATTATTACTAATTATCATGAAGACATTATGACTAATCACAATGTATACCTTAACATAACTCTAGATTTGGACTCTGTCATTTTGACCTACCTTATAACAACCATGAAACTATATACACTATAACTTAGAATGTACTAGGTATAACTTTACAAAATATGGCAACCTTTTAGTAAGCAATATAGATCTGCTGTACAAAAAAATCATAATTTTTGATAGTGTTTATATTAAAGATTTATCTGTAAACTTCCAAAGCCTTTACAAAGTCAACTAAGTGCAACGTGATTTTCATGTTAAGAATAAAAATACTTCTTTTCATCTTACAATTTTAACATTTGCATAACCTCTAGATCCTTCTAAATGAATATCATAGTCAAACTTTATATGTCACTTCTTAGTTTCTCTACCCTAACACTAACTGTAGTGAAACTAGCAATATAGGGAAGAAAAGAAATCTAAACTACCCTTTTCATTTTTATAAAATGATTGATTATTGTAACAAACAATTACTCTTATCTATTCTAACAGCATAAGCTACTAGCCTTTTAAATCTACCTTCATTCAGTTCTATTATTTTACAGATTATGTGTAAACCATTCACAACAGTGGGAAGTATTGTTAAAACAAACTGAATTACAATCACACTATGCAATTTGATGTACAAGAATAGAGAATATTTTGAAAAATGGTTTATTTAATTTTTTAATCTTAACTAACAAAATTTTTAATTCTTACATTTTAGTTACTTTATAATAATAAAAAAATATACACAAAAAGTAAGAAATTTAGTACTTTTGCCTCAGGCTTTTTCCTGTCAGTGTGAAAAGCATTCTAAACGTTTTTTGTGACAATGTTAGCTCTCCACAAAATTATGTTTATTTCAAATATACAATGTATAACACACAAACATTATCATGAACTAAAATAGAATGTCCTAGAACTGCTACAATTTAACTAACTATACTATAAAAAGGTCAAAAATAATATATATATATTATGAGCAGCAAATGAATCCTGTAAAGAAAAATGTGTTTTTTTGTTGTTTTTTTATAATGGTTATAAATAATCCAACAACAATGACAGATAGAAATTTGGCTCATTTTTTGGAAAGTTAAAATAATATGGGAGTAGTGTGTTATGTGGGTTTGGCATTTTTGTTTATATTTCAGTACAGCAAGAAGATTGGAGATTGTAAGTTTATATTCTAGTTTGTCAATATCTACAGTATGTAGTTGTAGTTTAGTTGGACACTTAGAAAAACATGTAATGGTAGAAAGAAACTTTAAAATAGTCATTTCAGAGAGAAAATTCCTCATGTGACACAAAACAAATCAACAAGGAGAATTTATTTAAATATTTCCATTCCAAATTAACAAATCAAAATGTAGATGAAACAAAAATTTGAATTATAAACTATGTTTTGATTCTAAGTTAACATACGTTAATAACAAAGTAGTTTAGCAAACTTTTGAATGTAATTCTTTAAAAATGATCATGACATGCAAACTTTGACCCACCTGTATCCAGAATTAAATATTCATACAGCACGGATTACATAGGCTTGCTACAGTTTTATTGTCTTGAAATTTTTACATGTTCTACAATAATTCCTGTATGCTGAATCCAAAAATTATATCCATTTTTCTCCATGATGTACAGATTTTTCATAAAACATCATAACTCAATATATATACACCTGGAAAAAAGTTAAGCACCCCCAAATATTTTTCAGGATTGCTTATTGAAAAT